TTTCTGAGAAACATTATGACCTAATGAAATAACAACTCTAACTTCTGATCTCAGTTGATGGCAATCTGCCAACAAAAGTATTAACAAGATTCGTTCCAGTTTTCTCTAAATGTGTTAAGATTTTAACTAACAGAACCTATTACATAAAAATGTTATGTGTTATGTGTAGAAAAACAAAACAGTATCGTTTATCTTTCATAATAAAATACAAAAATTATCAAATTGAAATAAGTAAACTTGTAGTCAACCTAGACTAAATCATTAATTTTAAGTAACATGTAAATATTTATGTTTTCTATTTAAACTCGTTTTCAAAAAAATAGCTTTGTTATTATTATATTTACTTTCGTAATATATTCATATAAGTAATGCATTGATTGAAATTAACTGCAAAGAAAAACCTTCAAATTTGGGTTAACGAAATCAATTATCTGAAGAAATGGCACACACACAAAGAAAAGTTTAATTAATTTAGTCATTCAAAGAATGGAGTGTTTTAGTCTTATTTTCTTCTAAATTATTTTGTTATGATTGCATGTTTCTTTACATCATTTTTTACTGCAATTTAAAATTAATTCTTCGTATCATTTAAGGATTATCACAGATTCTGAGAAAACATAGACAACTTTTAGCCTTCATAATATTCCCCCCCAGAGGCACAGCGGTATGTCTACGGACTTACAACGCTAGATACCCATGGTGGGCAGAGCACAGATAGCCCATTGTGTAGCTTTGTGCTTATCTTTAAACAAACCTTCTTAATATAAAATAAAATAACAATTTTAACAGAGTTCACCTTATCGAATTCACCATTGTATATCTTTGACATAAAATATTACTCGTGTATATTTATCAGGAATTTTCGCCAGGTGGCGGAGCGGTAAACATCGAGGTTTGATATCTGGAAAGGGTACACCCAGTTGTGTAGCTATTCGCTTAAAAAGAAAAAAACTTTTGCCAGGTTTGATATTCTAAGACAAAAAAAGAATAATTAATGTAATGTATTACCTTGTGACAACTGAAGGTAAAATAAAGTAATATAAATTAAGACAAATATGAATAAATTAATTCCAGTATATATTTGTTGTTTCTGGCAACGTTTCACTTGACATTGAAGTCGAAGATATGTAGCATTTTCGATATGAAGTATGATGACCTGTTACACAAGACTGGACACTTAAATGTGTCAAAATATAATAAAACTCAAAACTGTTTGTTATGGATTTCGCGCAAAGCTACACGAGGGCTACTGCGCCAGCCGTCCATAATTTAGCAGTGTAAGACAGCGAAAACAGCGAGTCATCACTACCCACCGCCAACTCTTGGGCTACTCTTTTACCAACGAATAGTGGGATTGGCTGTAACATTATAACGCCCTCACGGCTGAAAGGGCGAGCATGTTTGGTGTGACGGGGATTCGAAGCCGCGACCTGCAGATTGCGAGTCGAGCGCTCTAACCATATGGCCATGCCCAATAGTCAAAACCAAAATATATGATTATGGGATTTCAAAATTTTAGAAGCTGTACTTATGTGTGATTAAAATGTGGATGGTAAGCCTGCTTTTGTTGTGGTTTGTGAAGAGTATATCAGGAAATTCATTATTTTACATCTAGTTTTTGTTGACTCAATTCCCATTATATGTGCTTCTCGCGTCCTAGGTGTTATTAACGACCTAGTGCAGGGCTGCAGGGCTTTTCCCGCACACTATTTCACCGCCTTTTTTTCTCCCAGCAACCATCTTTCACGCTTGGCTAGCCATTGTCCAGCGGGGACATCGCCAGCTTATTTTCTCAGTACACACCGAAATGGCTAGTTCTTATCGACGTAGCCATCAAACAACTGTGATGAACAACACTTCTCCGTAACTTCTTTCGGTTATTAACCCGCATCATGCTTGTGCCGTGGACTCGTGATCAATGTTCATTGAGAAAAAAAAAAAAAGTTGCACCGACAAAGGATCACAAAGCATGATGCACGCGGTAATGGGCGGATTTGGAGCCAACTGTCTTCTGAAAAATGACAAGAAATGTCATCAACGCCAGAGATTAATAACAAAGTCACTTTTTCAATTGAAGTAAGAGCGAAAAGGCAAACAATATGTCAGTCTAATCACTGACTACTGTTCCGTCGTCGTTGTCAACTAATATGTAGCCAAGTAACCCTATTACAGCTATGGCATCCATGGGTTAAGAATGATCATTGGTTTTCTATAACTAATTTCCCCCATTCACAATAGAACTTCAAATATTCGGAAAGGTGTAGTTACTAAAATAATTTCCTACCAATGCATCCAAAGTTGTGTAAATCTCATGCAAAAGAAAAGGGATATTTCGTTGAGTTTATTTTGAACAGATAGATAGATGTAATCGCTTTTTTACGACTAATGGATTTTGTAGCCTAATTTGATTAGTTAGGTAGAAATGTGTAAATTTTTTACTACTCAACTATTTGAACTTAAACACAGCTATTTGAAATGTCTTCAAATTTTGTTTTTGAATTAATGATATAAAATTATGTTGAAAATATCACTTATCTTTCATATATAATTTCTTACGTTAAAAAATTACGATGCTCTTCAACTTTGCGATCATTATATTGTTCCACACAAATATTGCAGATGTTTTATTAGGGGGGCATAATGATTTTGATGTTGCACACAAACTTTACAGACGTTTCATTATAGATCGTTACATTGCTCTAACTGAACGTGAGAGTTAATGCGTCTATTTGAATTCATTTATGTGGGTATTAAAGTTTCCAAAAGAAAATGGCGAAGGTTCTGCCAGGTTGGCTGTCATTGGCTAATTATTTAATACACGCAAGAAACATTAATGATGAAAAGTTGTAGAAGGGCGTGAGCTGCAGGTATTTTGAAGACAATGGCGTAGTTGAAGTTTTAATTAAAAACAGCCAGAGGATGAGATAAAGTATGACACGCAAATTAAAATTGTGAGTTAATAGAGCAGATACTGGTGTTCAAGAAAAAAATAACGAACTTCGTTTTTGTGCTTTAACCCTAACTGAGGCACTTAAGGTTACTTTAATTATTTATTTGTTGTACTATCTGAGTCATCTGAGGTTAGCTATACTACTACTACTACTACTGGAGATACTAATCTCTTCATCTACTTGTGTATTTACTTACTTATCACTTCAACACTTCCTATAATATATATGATATTAAATATTAATGATAATGTCCATTCGTCATTTCAAAGTTTTAAGTTACTATTTCTCACAAATGTTTTTACTATATCTTCCTGCCCCCAAACGATTTTGTGTGTTTCTTTGAAGTTAAGTACAAAGCAATATAATGAGCTATCTGTGCTCTGCCCACCGCGGGTATCAAAACCCGGTTTCTAGCGTTGTTAGTCCGCAAACATGCCGCTTTGCCACGGGGATGCTCTCCCAAACGACGCGAACGTTTGTCTTCTTGAATGATTGGATGAGTAATTGGGAAAATAACGGGATGGAAAGTGTATTTGGCTATAAAAGCAGACAGATTGTTGAATAGAAATCGCTTTCCAAACGGAAATATTTTAAATTAACAGCAGTCAGGACGAAATTATCCTCAATATCTTTCATAAACAGCTATTGAGATATGTTTTATTTTTAAAGGAAAAAACCAAAGCAAACAAAATACCGGTTTTTAAGAACTATTAAAATAACCAGTTTAATATTATCAATGTGTAAACGTAATATATCTTTTTTTTTCCTAAAACTGTTAATTTTTTTCTTCTTTTTATGTAAAATATATCGTTCATTCAGAGAGAGAACAGAAAATACAAGTCTGTATTTCTACAATTTGTTATTTTTGTTCTATAGATTTGTTTCAATAATTTATAATTTTTCCATATTTTCAGATGATTTGAAATAGAATTTCACGTGTATGTCATGTTCTTTTAATGTACCCAGCTGATTGTTGACGGCTTTGGTACAGGTGCTGACATGTTACATGTGTACCCATTTTAACATATAATAATTTCAGTATTGCATAAATAATACTAGGAACCTCAAAGAACGATATATATATATATATTATTAGCAATTTATCCATGATAACATTGGCTAAAGTAAGTCTGATTATATTAAACTGCTTTGAAACAGTTACTAAATAAACTATAAATTAGGGTTATATCGTTGATTTTAAGATTTTCCTCTAACATTTTAACGAAGAAGCAACACGCTCAACAAGAAGTTAGTCACTTTGTCAGTCCTATAGGTGCTTACTAAAGTTTTTTGTAGAATAACGACTGCAGTTTGAATTTTTTGGAATTTGACATTAAGAAACCGCATAGAAGAAGTACACAACGATCGATACATTCTACGATCTGTAGTTAGTTCTCCACGTTAAACAGATTTTTTGATATGCCATTAAGAATTTGGAATATCGGATGAATAGTTTCATGTAGATAACCAATGATCCTGTTACGAATAGTGGGATTGACCGTCACATTATAACGCCCCCACGGCTGAAAGGGCGAGCATGTTTGGTGTGACGGGGATTCGATACCAGAGGGTTTTCTGTGTACAATACGTGCTTATGCTAATTTATCATTTTTAACTGAAATCTGTTTACATTGCGTAGAGTATATCTAAAAACTATGTACAATGATAGGTATGGCTCATTGTAATTATTTCGTAATGTGGACAAAAAGTTTCTCTTTAGGTAAAGTAAATAAGAAAATTAAGCCTATTTTTCTAAACTGCCTTTGTAAATTAAAATGACTATGACACAAAAACATTATTTTTTACCCTGTCTCATTGTGTGAGTTTAAGAGTCAATTGTATAATTTCAAAAAGAGTTTAATTGTACCAAATTGCCCCACATGTTTAAAATGCCCGGGTTTTTTTTTTTCGTATCAATGTTAATATTTTTCTAACCCTAAAGACTGATATCTTCACTCCTTTGTTTACGAAAACTAATAATATGTCTATTATAAACTGCAGTTTCTTCTTGAAGAACGTGTTTGTTCCTAATAATATTTCTACCACTAGGACTACGCAGAGACCACAATGAATGAGCTACTAGGATGGTACGGATATGAGAAGTTGAACAGTAGAGATAAGCAGGGGCTTAATCTTCAACATTTTACATCTGTTGCTTCACCACGAACGCCATCTACTCCGGGTGGCAGCGGTTCTGAAGATGCCAGTCGGGATGTGTCTTCCAACCAGGTTAGAATAAGAGCTGATACTCCTGGAATTAACAACAGCGGAACACATGAACCTGGCCCAAGGGTAGAAGGTAAAATAACCCAATGCTATTTTCAATAAAGATTAACCAACTTTCTAATCAGAGTGAAATTCAAACTTACGATGACTAAGTTGTCCTTAAAGTTATTCCGATAGAAAGTGATGCTTTGTGACAACTCTGGGGGAGGGATATGTTCGTATACCTTTATTCAAAATCATAACTACTAACATTTTCTCAGACTTCTTCTGATGGTAAATGATGTTCGTGTTCATTCATTATGTGCCATCTCTGTTACAGGGGTTGACTGCAATGGACCACTAACATTGTCTGTTTTAAGCCCTTCTTGTGCACTCTGAAATCTTTAGGTCCTCCCACTAATTGATATTATCCTCCCAATCCGTTCTTTATCTTTCTTTCTCTCTCTTTTTCTTCTAGCGTAAGCTTCTGTATCTTTTTGTGCCCTTTTTATATATGCCAAAATTATACTGTTTTTCCTTTGCTTTAGGATGTCAATGACTTATCTTTTTATATTGAGTTTCTTAAAATATTTTCATTTATTTTCTGCCTGTCCACGATATTCTACCAAGTCTTCGGAATATCCACACTTCAAACGCATCCACCTTTTTCTCAATACGTTCATTAATTGTCCAAATCTCTGCATCGACCAAGAGTGTTAACCACATATGTAGCATTTAATGACTCTCATTTTTTAGTTGGTGATTTATTTTTATTGGCATAATAATTTGTTTAATATTATTAAAGGCAGTTTTCGCAATAGCTATTCTTCTTCTTATCACTTTCACACATGTGCCATCTTATGTGATTAATTGTCCAATGTAAGTAAAGCTTTTAACTTCTTCCAATTCCTCTCCATTTATTATTAGTTTAGCTTTAGGATTTTTTTCTTTGCTTATAGCCATTGTCTTTGTTTTCTTAGCATTCATATTCAATTAATATTCCTAATTTTTTTTCTTTAATTTTATCAACATGTTGCATTTTTCAGGATTTTCAGCCAACAGCACTCTGTCATCTACATATCTTAAATTATTTACATGCGTGTTTGTTAGTCCTTAAATTCCTCTGAAGATCATTTCCATATATATACGATAAAAGATAAGGGGAGATCACACGTCATATTTCAATGAATGGTGATAACTAATCGTTGGATCTTACAGCTGCCATTTTTATCCATATACAGGTCGATAATAAGTCTAATGCTCTTGCAATCCAAACTGATGGCCTAAAGACATTCTATTAGCATTGTGCGTATAACTTTATTCAAAAACGTAGCTACTGAAATGTACTTAAGCTTACTGTGACAGTTCTAGGAGCGAAGCTATGGTCATGTTTGTGTATCTTCTCCAGAAAAAAAAATGTTTAAATCCCAATATTTCAAAGAACAACACACGAAGCAAGCAAACTATATTCTTCTCTAAATATATCTTCTTATTTTTATCTGCTCTGTACGTTGATATAGTTTGAGTAGATGTATTTGTGGTAAGCACAAAGTTTTACCAAAAGTTTAAGGTTTATCTAATATCAACCTAATGACGAATGAAAGTGTTTCAGCATCGAGAATGAGTAAACGTTAGAGTATAGTCAAACAACCGTATAAACTGGTTGAACTTATTTTTGTACATATCTACATTTCACAAAAGGAACTTTAGTGCAATCTCGTACTATTTTAAAAGAAATTCAATTAAACTACTGTTGTTGTTTTTTTTTGTTTTTGTTTTTTGTAAATGTCAAGTTTAATACAGAACTAGCATTTAACAATGATAATGGTTTTGGTAATGAGTGAAATTTTAAACTCTGTAATTAGAGATTGGAATTCAGATCTATTAGATATTTGATAAAAGTGTTTTAACAATTTATGCTTTCTTTGATTTGTTTGTTTATTATTAGGCAAATAGCTACATTATGGGCTATCTGTGCTTTACACACCGCAAGTATCTAAACCCAGTTTTTAGCGTTATTCGCTTTCACACCAAGGGGACAGCAGTTTAAGGACCAAAAGTTTGGGGGTTCATGACACTGTTGTTTATTACATAGTGTTTAATATCACAAAAGCCATATAAAAAGTTCAAACAAAGCTACTATCAACAAAGCAATGAATACCACTACTTACTGTTGCCTGGAGTCCCCTTTCATATGTATTTTTCACTGAAAATGAGAAATTTGACCCAGTTGCTTTTGCTCAGGTTGTTTTTTTTTTTTTTTGTTGTTGTTGTTCTACATCGTATTTTGTGAAAGGCAGAAATGTACAATTGTTCATTATAATGTACTATATAGACTCAACCAGTAGCCTCATCAGTTCAGGCCTACTTTATAAACTAACTTTAATAAGGATGATAATACTTAGATATGTAAGCTATCATATCATAAATAACCAAAAAAAAAGGTACATTTGGTTAACAAAACTACTTTACTCACAGCAAGAATTAAGTATTTAAACGGAAACTATTCACGATAGATTGTTGTTCTTTCATGTAGTTGTTCTGTTATGGTAATCACGTTTTTGTATCTCCGTGAGCAGAAATCACAACCGGGACCTTTCACATGCTAGGCTAGTGACTTAGCAACTGAACTATAAGGTTAACACACGTAGTCTAATACGCTTTCACACCGCTCAGATAATGAGCTCCGTATACCAGAATACAATTTTCGTCATTGTTGTGTTTCTTCCACCTCTTTGTTTTAAATCTGGTATAATAATGTTTGATGTTATTACTTAATATCAGTAGAATATCGACAGTTTCCTATGATTCCTCAGTATTACGTGTTAACAGTGTATTTCAAAATTCCAAGTGGATTTTGTTTTTTCAAATAGACAACGTCTGAAGGTAACCAATTACTTATAAACTACTACTACAAGAAAAACAAAGTCCGTTCAGAAACTTTTAATAAACATCTTGATACACCTATACAAAACATCCGTATTTGCTAAGATAAAGCACAATGAAAGTTTCGTTTTATCTTGTACGCATGACTTGTATCCTCGAGTATTTCTTTTAAAGTATAATTGATAGCGTGCTCAAGGCACTTATTATACTTTTAAGGTAATCAACTTTGTTACTGTTGTATTTATATGTACCTTTTATTTCATTCACATGAAAAATGCATTATATATGAATATATGTGAGTAACTCTTTGTATGCGCATACACACACACACACACACACACACACATATATATATATATATATATATATGCATACGGGCCACGTGAAACCTAATGGATAGCGTGCCCTGATTGTGAATTCGTGGTTCACGACCTTTTCCAGCGAAACGTGCTTCGCATTTTGGAGACGTGGATACACTATAAAGATAGCGATTAAAAGATTAAATCCCACTATTCACTCAGACAAGATAAGCCCAAGGGTTGGCGGCGGGCGCTATTGAGAAGTTGCTTTCCTTCTAGTCTATATGTTCAAAATTAGGGACGATTATACTGCAGAAGTCCCTTCTATAGCTTTGTACCAAATCCTGAAACAAGCTTTCTATGTATGTATGTATATGTGTATACATACATTTCACTACAAGTAAGAAAAAATATGATCATGATCGTGGGAATTCAAGTTTTTCAAAAACTACTTTTGTAATCACGTAAGTTACTTAGAAATGTAAGTGTAAATTTAAAAAGATTTAGCAGCATTGCATTCGTGAAAATATTCAGTACGTACAACTGTTATTTGTAATTCGTAAGTGCAACGATATGTAAGAAGTAATATGGGGTTTTTACTTAGTAAGTTTACTAATCTGCTAGTAGCAGATTTCACAGAAGTAGGTTTGATAGAAAAAAAAACAGGAAATGATTACTATTATAATGGATTTTACATAAACTCTACTCTCTGATAATCACCAATCCTCTAAAGGTCAGGGAGTACACTATTTTCGAAAAAGCTGTCATAAAATTTCATGACCTTTCCAAAACTGTCATTTTCATTATTATTATTATTCCCTCTCGCAATTTGAAGGACATAGGGTACAATTTAATGATGTTATTTATGCTTTGGAAATTGAATAGTAATTTAATTTTGTATATCTTACTTTTCGTTTCTTGAGGCAAGTATAATGCATATCGGTTAATTAAATAACTTATGTTTTACTGTCCTATTCATAAGACGTAAATTATTAGATTAATCAGTTAACATGTTTAAATGTATAGGAAAATATTCTTCTAACAAGGATATAAAAAGTTTGAACTTTATTGCCTCTCACTAGCCCCAGTGGCTCAGCGGCATGTCTCCAGTCTTATGACGCTAAAAATCAGGTTTCAATACCCGTGATGGGCAGAGCACAGATGGCTCATTGTGTAGCTTTGGGTTTAACAACAACCACACCTCAACCTCTGATTACCCTCTGGTTATTGTAAGGGAAACTTGTGTCTGTGTTTGAGATCTCCTGTCGACCATTCATCTTTTCTGTTTACACTCGGATTGATGATTAAAAACTCGCATAGTAGGAATCTTCATTAGGAGCGAAAAGAAACTTAACCTCAACGAGATGCAGGATTAGTTTCAATATTTTGATTAGTCACCTACTGTCACTTGGTTAAGATTTTTAGATATTAACAATCACTGTTGTAAAAATTATACAAACGGCGACCATAAATTTTGAATATTTACTCACCTTAAATAATTGTTAACTAAATAGGAACCGAAAGTATCACCGGATATATATGTATGTTGATGTTTGATAGGTCAGTAATGTGTAAATATTTTAATTAATTATACTTAAATAAAGCATATTTTACACTCCAATTATTCTAGCAATTTTTGCTAAAACCTGTGGTTACATAACACACACACATACATATATGTACTAGTAAATTTTTTCTACACGCCTTAGGAGGTATTTATTTTTTTGGTTGGGGAATGGTGTATGTGTGTGTATGTGTGGGTGTGTGCATCATTTACAACGCAAGTCTACTGAGTACGGGCCAACGGCAAAGGTACCCGTGCTTTGCATGGAATTAAACGTTACTTTCAGACGACAACTCTGTTATATATATATATATATTGAAAAAGTTGACAAGTTACCAACACTTA